GCAAACTGCTGTAATAAGCGCCTAAGGTAAATCTAGCAAAATTTTATCAATTTTTGCAAGAAAAAGTGCTAAAACTCCGGATTTTGGTTTATTTTCTCTTTCACCACCTGCATCAATGGGGTTTTTTTTCTCAGTTTCAGAAGTTTGTTGACAAAAACAGCGAATGGAAAATATATTTGCAAACTGTAGTAAGCCTTTCGTTTCAGACATAGAAAGAAGTAAAAAAGCCTTAAGCAAACAGCGAAAACAGCCCTGACGGAGGACAGTTTTATTCGCTTGCAGATTCTGATTAAAAATGAAATCAAGTATTTTCGTGCTTGCATAATTTACGAAAAATATTAAGCTAATAATCGAGGATATTTCTACATGAACTTCTTCTTCACCGGACAAAACGACTATTGCAGAAACGTTATTCAGCCTTAGCTCCAAATGTTCAGGATAACTTCGTAGCATGTGGTGCCATATGCAAACGACTACTTTAAATACCATTAGCAAAATGCGTTGTTTTTTTTTTTTTTTTTTCAAACTGGATACCAATCATGCAGTTCAACGCTAAAAAATATACAGACCCTTTTAAAAGACACAATTTTCGGTTGCAGAGTGCGTTTCTTTTTTTTTTTTTTTTACAAAGCCCACTACTAGCAAAGTTCCTGATTAATGAGTTTTCGAAACGGTGTTCAAAAAAGATAAGTGAAGCTTGACTTACCAGGTATATTACAAGCAATTTACAATTACACTAGGATGACGAGACAAATTCCCAGCACGAAATTACATCCATGTGACTATATCAGGGCGATATCGTGATACCACACACTGCCCTATCCCTGATTATTATCCTGGTAACTTATGTGCTCAATCTGACAGTAATTCGCACATCTTCACTGCATTTAACTGTTTTTTTACTGATCCGCGAGCCGACGTCATGAGTAGGACTTTGCTTCAGCTTTTTCAAAATCAATCTGACCAAATCAGATAAGCGCGCATATGCGTGTTTTTAGAGATGGCATACTTGTCTGAACACTTATTATGTGTACAGTGAGGAGAACTCCCCTCCACCACCACGACTACCATTGCCACCCGTAGACACTTAACCTCTACGAAAAACTGAGCACCTCGACAGTGCAGTTCATATCGCTTCAAGTAACTCTTTTTGCTACGGGTAATATTAAGTTTAATTTATAAATGCAACTACGAAACTGACAGTATTTTGAAGTGGAAGATGCGAAAAAAAATTCAGCTTACAAAAATATCGCCATGGATTTTCTTTACAACTACCAATTCCACATATTCGTATTCCAGTGTTTTCGGATCCAACTGGTCCCTTCTCGTTTCAAGATAAAGAGGAAATAAGTGGTCACGCTTACGTTCCACATAAAACGTCAAATCTTTTCGGGCTGAAAAATCTGATTTGATACTCACAGTAGCCGGTAAGACCGATGACATACCTCTCTCGGACCTCCTCTTCATATCTAATTTTTGCACTGCCATCCATCACAACCGTACTGATATGATGAATGAAGTGAAACACAAAACTCTCAACGTTGTCACTGATGACTATGGTGCAGGTAAAAACTCGAATGATCTTAAAGATCTAGCAACATCTAGCGCAATCAATGTGGACTGACTCGTGGCAAGCAAAATTAGAACAGACTACGCATAAACATTTTTGGCAGACAATAAGTTGTAAGTAAATTCTTGTCTGGCAGCATGCCTACATCCACGACACCTTGCATGCGCCTAGCTAACTGCATCGTTTTCCTCGAACTTAACAGAAAATGACTGACGTGCTCAGCTGACAATACCGACTCGAAAAACTGTATGTCAAGCAAAACTTGCCCCCTACGGTAGAGGAACTTGCAGTTGCTCAGAAGTCACTGAAATGAGTGAGCAACAACCACCCCTGTTCCCTAATTTCTAAGTGACCGATTTCTGCATACGTTCACAAGTGTGCGCTGGAAATCTCACTTAGGTAATTCTGATATTTCTCTGAGTACCAATTCACGTAGCATGATGTGACAGTACATGCTCCCCTAACCGTTTCAGCAATACACAGCGCAAATCATTCTCTCGAGACAAACACAGTGAACTTAAGGGCAAACTTCCACAATGTCTGGGTAGTCATCACACCCGTGTCACGGAGAAAAAAGCATGAAAATGAGTCACGCACACAAGCAATTTATACAAAATGGGGCTTTCATCCCTGCAAATATTCAAACAAACGCCACTTTTACTTATTTTTAGTCTCACAAAAGTAAGACTGAAACGATTATTAATTTTTAGTAATAAAAATTAATAATCGTTTCAGTCTTACTTTTGTGCTTCCCCCAGCAAAGCAGAAAGCCCGCTCATATTCCGGACTTCTCTCACCCAGAACTTAGCTTCTACCGCTTCAAGAAAATTCTGATAAGATGTGCTGCGCCAGGACAGCTGCACAGCACTACCGCAACACCTGCCCATCAGATAAACCTGGGGAAAGCACTGCCAGCATTATGATAAAATCAAACCAAAAAAACTGATGCTATGGATTATCTGATCATTTTCATCTGATAGGGACTGATGAACGAGGAGGGCGTGAGAAGACCTGCGTCCGACGTGTCGAAGTACTCCAGAAACCTCGCATAATGCATCAACTCCTGGATGGTCTGGCATTTTTGGCAAACAAGGAACAGCATCCATTAGGCAGCCAACAAGACGTACTCAGCTGGGAAAAAGAGAAGAATGACGCCCTGGAGGAAGAACACAACAATCCGCTAAGAGGCTGAAATCAACAGTGGGTTTTCATCAAACAAATCCACCACCCCACACGAACGGACTACCGTCTCTTCTTAATGAGACAGAAAGAAATTACGATTTGGCGGTCTCCATCCGCTTGGCGTCGGATATGTAGTGTGGTGGGGCACATCAGGAACCACTCGATGCGGCAATAAATTTTCGACATGTTTCCAATTAACTGGAATTTCAACCGCCGTAGTCACAGTGCGCCCTGAAAGTATTAAATGTTTCCATCTAAAAGTAGATCTTCAGGCACCCAGTTGCCAATCCCAGCAAAACTGATAAGCCTTTGGCACGCCAGCAAGACACTTGGACCATCTATGAAATAACACTGTACAACAGAAAACATACTTCGACACCCCAGGTT